CTGGCGGGACCTACCGATGGCGGCCTTGACACGGAGGTCAGAGGTGATTTGCGTCTCCTTTGCTGCTGCTGGAGCTGAAAAGAGAGCAGGGAGGTTGGGGGGTGGGGTGGGGGGCTCAGCCCCGGTTCCCCTTCCAGGGTCTTTGGAGGAGGAGGAGGAGGGGGCCTCCCTTCATCTGCGCATGAGGTCTGCAAGGGGCGGTCAATAAATTTAATAATAAAATAATATAAAATAAAATAATATAAAAAATAAAATATATAAAATAAAATAAGAAAATAAAACTTATAAAATTATATATAAAGCAAAGTAATTAAATAATTAAAATATAAAATAATAAAATACAAAATAAAAATTAAATAAAATTTATATAAAATAAGATAAAATAAAATAAGATAAAAAATAAAGTAAATAAAATTTAAAACAATAAGTATAAATATAATAAAAATTAAAGTTTAAAAAATAAAATAGGACTCTGGGAACCAGAATCAAGAGGAGGCTGGGGGCCCCTTTTCTGATCAACCAACTTTAGGGGGGCGGGAAAAACGGGGCTTCTGTTAGCTGCTGCTCACTTCTGCAGAAGCCTGGATGGGAGGATTTGCACTCTGCACCTACTGTTATATAACCGCCCCCCTCCCTCTATTTCCATCCCAGATCGGTCTTGCCCACTCTCCTCCGACCCCCAGCACCCTCTCTGGCCCCCCTCTCTATGCGGAGGGGCTGCCCAGAAGCTGGGCTCAGCTTCTTGCCTTGATGAAGATCAGATTGGGTGGGTGGGTGGGAGGGTGGGATCACGGGGGTTGGGCAGCAGCTCTTCCACTGACGTGGGTGGGAGGGAGGGTGGGTGGGATCACTGCCAGCAGCTCTTCCACTGACGTGATGGAAACATTAATAACACCTTCGGCATTGACAAAATCGCCATCGGTCAATTGCAGAAGGCAGCTACGCTCAGAGGAGCCGACCTCCTGCCACCTCTTAACACCCTCAAACAGCCACATCTGCCTATCGCAGGTCCTTGGGGAGGTAAAAAAGAGGCCAGATCCAGTCCGAACATCTGGCTGTGTGCGACCAATCACAAGAAGGCGGTGCAGTGCCTCCCCGTGGCCCTACCTTGGATGGAGAGGGACACGCGAAGCAGAAGCAACAGCAGGCAGCCAGCGAGGGGCCGGGCGTCTGGAAAGAGAGGAGGGGGAGGTCAGTGGGGGCCCTGGTGCCTTTGGGAAGTGGAGCCAGGGACTCTGGGGGCATCTGATGTTGAAGACAATTCAATTCAGTGGTAACAAATGTAAGGTTTAGGCAAGAAAAACCAGAATTGTTGAAGTTCCCCACCTCTGCTTTACATGTGATTTAGAGCTGGGCAGCTTTATAAATGTACCAAAATAATAAAATCCCCCGTCGATCTGCCCTGGATGCCCGTTCTCTTTTTCAAGAGAGGCCGCTAAAGAAAAGGGACCCAAGAAGGAAGCAAAAAAGAGGAGAACTGATTGTCTCCAGCATCTCACGGCCCCCCAGATAAGCAGCGGTTAACCCCAGACAAACCATCCGGCAGAAAAGAATGGCCTCATAAAGGAACTAGCAAGGAGGAAACCCACACGCCCACCAAGACTGACAGGTACATAAACCACTGGTATATAAACAGGGAACAGAACACACACACTCCATAATCCTGATAAGGTTACCTAATCAGGTCATGAAACGCCCCATTACAAGCAATGAACCCAGCTCAAACGTCAGCTGTCTTCAGAGTTTTGCCAAAACAGTTTGCGTAATTGATTTAAAGAAGATAGGAATTCAATTCAATATATAAACAGCCCACCCACCTGTCTGTCCACACCTCCCCCACATACATTTCTTTCTTTTATTTTAAGAATTTTTTAAAAAAGTTTTTATTAGGTAAACATTAGAACGTTGGACATAGTGCGATGTTTCTGGCATAGTCATTTCCATGGAATTTTTTTGATCTTACAACAATAAGAGTTTGTATCCATTACACAGGTGTGTGGAGTCAGCCAAATTATCTACCCATTCATCCCTTTCATGATGCCCTCCCTACCAGTACCTCTCCATCTCCAATTCCTTCCTTTCGTACAACATTAACACCATATTTCCCCATTCTGAAGTTATCCCTCCTTCTCTGTCCTGACCGTTTTATTTTAGGAAATTTATATTGCTGCCCCTTCGGACATAGAAGGCGGCTTCCATGCCCCCCCACCCGGCTCTTCATCCCTACCATCTGCCCGTCTCTGTCTGTCTGTCTGTCTATGTTCTTTCTTTCTCTCTCTCTCGCTCCCTCACTCGCTTCTTTATCTCTTTCTATATATATCTTCTTTATCTATTTTCTTTCTTTATCTATCTATCTTTCTCTTTCTATCTTCTTTCTTTATCTCTCTTCTCTCTATCTACCTATCTTTCTTTCTTTATCTCTATCTATCTTTCTTCATATCTATATCCTCTATCTTCTTTCTTTTTCTCTTTATCTTCTTTATCTCTCTCTCTTCTTTATCTCTATCTATTCTCTTTATCTCTCTCACTCTTCTATATCTTCTTTATATCTATCTATCTATCTATCTATCTATCTATCTATCTATCTATATCTATATCTTTCTCTATCTTCTTTCTTTATATCTCTATCTTCTTTCTTTATATATCTCTATTGTCTTTCTTTATCTCTCTATCTTCTTTCTTTATATATCTCTATTGTCTTTCTTTATCTCTCTATCTTCTTTCTCTCTATCTTTCTTTATC